GATGGGATTAAATTGGAGTCCCCTGGTATGTTTCTAACTCTACCATTTGGGGCAAGTCAGCCCGAGCATGTCCCAAATTATATATCTCTTCCCTCTCTTATTCCTACTCTTATGTTTAACAGGGATCACATTTCAGTTAAATTTCAACACTTAAGAATAACTGTGTATTAATTACAGAATTAAACCAGTCATATTAAGTAGAACAGACAAAAAAACTACTAAGAGGGATAATGTATTAAGTTGTTCATTAACAGTCAGGGCTATGCTGATCAAGTCACCGTTTCCCATAGTGTCCATTCCACTTCAACAGGTTTCCTTTTTGGTGTTCAGTCAGTTGTCACCGATCAGGGGGAACATATGATATTTGTCCCTTTGGGACTGGCTTATTTCACTCAGCATGATGTGTTCCAGATTCCTCCATTTTGTTGCAAAGGATTTCTAATGCGGATTTCTCCCCCAAATGAGAGGGAGTGAGGTGGGGAGCAGTTTTGAAGCAGGACAGAAGAGAAATCTCTCTGAAAGCTTTTGATGAAATCTGTGTGAACCACAACTACTTAAGAAAGCAGCACTGGCTAATCTTACTTAAACACAAAGAAGAATCTGTAGGGTTTGTCTGGTTCTTGACCTCATATCTTGTGTCACTATGGTACTGGACTTTGCCTCTGTAGTTATGGGGCTGACAAGAAGAAGGACTGGAACTAGCAGTGTAGTAGGGGATGTACACCAGAGAAGTAGAATAGCCCAGAAAGACAGATTCCAGCCCTGGATGTTTACACTTGTGCATGTGAGTTTTCAGGAAGATTTCTCAGTCACTTTCAGTGATGGGTGAGCTGTGTCTTCCACTTGCACATAATTAGCCCTGTTGCTGTGACTGCACTTCTTTCCCTTGTTCCTCTGTCGCAGCAGCTAATGAAGACAGTCCTCAGTAAGTGACAGTAAAGATCAACAGCATCATGTCCATTCATTGAACATCCACTATATGTCTGTCAGCATGCTAAGTTTTTTTTTTTTAAATACACAAATAATCTCCAATCCTTATAACCAGATGGAAACAGTGTGTTCTTGTTTTCACATGATGGAAATGAGACTCAGAGACATAGATAACTTGAAGGTCACATAGCTAGAAGATGAAGGAGCTGGAATTCAAATTCTGGCTTACACACCACATTGCCTCATTAGTGATGCTGAACTAACAGCTGAAGGAAGATGTTACAGTATGCTAAATGATATTAGCTCTTTAAAGAGAAAAGTGAAGAATGTCAGTAGAAAATAAGAGGCAAAGACTTTGTATCTCATTGCAAAATTTTTTCTTGCCTCTAAAACAGTCTTAGTACTGTTGACTTTGGGGGCTGTCCTATGCGTAGTAGGATGTATTTGGCAGTATCTCTGGCATCTACCCACTAGATGCCAGCAGTGCACTCAGACAATTCTGTTATCTCTGGTTGTGATAGCCTTACCTCCAGACTTTCCCACATGTTCTCTGGAGGACAAAAACTGCCCCTAATTAAGGACCACTGCTGTAAGATCTCAGTCAGGGCAATGTTATGGGGAAAGGGAGAGTAATACATGTAAAGAACTGAGATAAGATTTGTTGCATTGAGAGAAAGAATGGAGACAAATTGATGGAATGGGACAAATAAATGGGAAGAATTGGTCCTAGGCAAGATAAAGTTAGTTATTAGAAGTGGAGAGTTTAATGAAGAGTTGTTATACATTCATAGATACATAGATATCTCTCTTTTCTTTTAGTCTTGTTTATTTTTGTTTTTTTTTTTAAGATTTATTTATATATGTATTTGAGAGGTAGAGTTAGAGAGAGAGGGAAAGACAGAGAGAAAGCTCTTCCATCTGCTGGTTCACTCCCCAAATGGCTGCAATGGCCGGAGCTGAGCTGATCAGAAGCCAGGAGCCAGGACTTTCTTCAGGATCTCCCACGTGGCCCCAGTGCCATCTTCCATTGCTTTCCCAGGCCATAAGCAAAGAGCTGGCTCAGAAGAGGAGAAGCCAGGACATGATCTGGTGCTGTAGGCAGAGGCTTAGCCTGCTAGGACACAGCACCAGCCTGTTATTTTGAAAGACAGAGAGAAACCCTCAATCTTTAATCCACTAATTCACTCTCTCGATGCCTGCAACAGCCAGGGCTGGGACTGGCAGTAATCAAGAGCCTGCAGTTCAATCTGGATTTCCCACATGGGTGGCAGAGACCCAACTATTTGAGCCATCATCATTGCATCTAGGGTCTTTCAAATCAGAATTGGAAGTGGAACTGGGACTCAGATCCAGACATTCCAGTATTCCAGTATGTGATGAGGAGGAGTATTCTATGTTCTCTTAACCACTGTGCCAAATCCCCATGCCTCTTTCCCTCCCCACCCCTTTCCTTTTCTGTCTGAAATATATCTGAAATGGAATAGAGGGAGCCACTCTTTTTCCATAAATAAATAAATGACCAGATTCTGTCATTTATTGACTCCCACATTTCGGTCACCATTCATCAGTTGTGGCTGCTGATGGCACTTACAGAATTTGGTGCATATTTTTCTGGACTTTGTCCTAAGTTTTTAAATCCATTCCTCTGTTGAATTATCCCCCTGATTTCTAGTCTCATTCTTTTTAACTATAGGGTTGATAATATTTGTAGGAGGAAATTATTATAGGTTACAAGAAAAACATTGATAATTCTTATATAGCCTTTGAAGATAATTTTATACTTATCAAGGCCACTGTTAAGAACTGGCTTGTAAATATTGGTACCACTTTGCAGCAAGTACCAGGAAAAATTATATAAAGGAAAAAGATAAAGTAATCTACTCAATTAACAACATGGCTCATCAGATCCTACAGACCAGCAGTTCATTACTAAATTTCTGTTTATGTGTATAACGTCAAAGTTTACCCTATTAAAATTAAAACAGAAAATTTAAGTTATTAACTGAATAGTAACAGTAAGCTAATTATATGTTAACATAGTATATTTTATTTAAAAAAGACTAGATTTTCCAAGATAAAAAAAATGAGAGTGGCATTGTTTTGGATTTTTATTAATTTTTTTAATGTCACATATAGAAGACAGCTGGGTTCTGGTATCTACTTCTGGATTCAGTCTATGTCTATATGTTGTTTCGATTGAAGTATTTAAAGGAAATCTGCTCTCACACAGATATGCAATTGGAAAAGTGAGAAGTATTTCAATAGTTTTTAGTAATTGTAGAACCTCCTTTCTGATACTTCATCAAATCTCAACAAATAATAGTTTTGAGGTTTTCTTAAAGTTGCTATGTCAAATCTGGAACCAAATAAATGAACCATTAATACTCTATCCTTAGTCTGGCCTGCACTTTGAGGGATTATTTTGCCCTTGTGTGTTCTTGTGACATCATGTGTTGGCCATCTGGAAAAGACTGGTTTCCTGAGTAATGCAGATCTCCCAAGTACTGACAGTGTCATTAAATAGTTACAACAACAGCAACAACATGTTTGTTACCATCGCCATCAATCTCATTAGAAGAGTCTTTAACTCCTGGGAGGCTGTCATATTTCCAGAATACTAAGTTTTGCCTGACAGATCAAATTTTATTACTGACAGCAAATAATGTCAGTGGTTGTCCTTCAAGTGACAGACTCCTTCATTCATGTTCAAGGAAAGGACAGACGACTGAGGCAGAATGACCACAGTTTGTTCATTGCCTCTTCCAAGTGACAGTGGTGTTCTGTGAAAAAAATCAGCATATTCTGCCTCACTAATACTTTTCCTTGACACAGCCATTGTACCTCAATATAGATTCTACTGCATACTTCCCTTTTTATCTCACAGCATCTTAAAAAGGCATGTACTCAAAGGCAAGATTTAAAAAAATTAGTAAATCTTCATCAAGGACATTCCGTGTAAATGGCATTTGTTTTATGTTTTGCATGTGGTGGTGAAGAGTATCATAAACCCAAATTCCGCTTGGTGCCATTGCCTTGATTTGTGCTAAGGCATCGGCAGTTTTAGCCACCTTTGCTTTTGTATTGTATATCAACACAATGAAAAGGTGATAAGGTCTTTATATTATCATGAAAATATTTTGACCTAACCAAACCCCTAAAGCATTCTTGGGGGACCCAAAGATCTATGAAACTTGAGAACCACTACTATAGAATTTTTGAATAAACTGGATGAAGAATAATAATAGGACTCTTCCAAAAACATTTGTCAACTTCAGTCTTCCAGTTTGATCATTCACAAATACAGTGTTATTGTATAATGTTGAATGAGATCTTTTATACCTGATTCATTGATAATTTCATTAGGCTCTAAGGTTAGTGGTGATTTAGATAATTAAGATGCTTAACTCAAAAGCATATTGAGCCTTTTTTAATTAATTAATAATGAATGAGATCTTGAATTTATACTGCAGAAGCTCTAGAACATCTGCAGAAAGGTAGATTACCTGTAGTATGAATCTTATCTCTAAACTAATTACATAGAACTGATGGATACAGTTAATAGCAAAAATTGGTCAGTTTTAATATTCCTGGACCAAAACTGGTATCAAATGATACAATGCAACCAGAATCCAGATTACAAGGAATAATTTACTATCAAAATAATTAAAATTAAAATAACTCATGGAAGCAAATAAGAATTGAAACCCAGGGATTTAAAGTTCTATAACTTGTTAGTTGGATACTTTATTTAAAATATAAATATATCAGAATTTTGTAATGATTGCTTTTGTTATTTCATAAACTCCTAGCGGGTGCTCAAACAAGATCAGTATTCCCTGAAGTGTAAAGACAGTGCTAGTATCAGTATCAGTCCACTATGTAAACACATTATAAAATAAGGTAAATAGTTTTTACATGAAGAAAACCTTTGGTCAAGAAGCTGCCATTGTGGCACAGTGGGTTAAGCTGCTACCTGCAATGCTGGCATCCCAAATGAGTGCTAGTTCAGGTGCCAGCTGCTCCTCTTATATCCAGCTCCCTGCTAATGTGCCTGGGAAAACAGTGGAAGATGCCCGAAGTACTTAGACCCCTGCCCTCCATGTGGGAGACCCAGATGGAGTTCCAGGCTCCTGGCTTCAGCCTGGCCCAGCTCCAGCCATTGCTGCCACTGGGGAATAAACTAGTGGATGGAAAATTTCTCCCTCTCCTCGCTACCCGCTACTTCTCTCCCTGTCCCTCTCCATCTCCCTCTCCATCCCACCCCATCATTTGAGAGTAAGATACAAGTGATTGCGATACCGGACACAATGCTATGTGGCAAAGCCAACCTAGAAGATGATGAATTAGTTTTATTTTTCCTGTTAGTGTCAATTGTAATATGTGGATATACATGCTTCTGGTGTTGATTCTTGTGTACCTGTTCTAGTATGGTGGTGTGAGTTCTGAGTACACAGCAGGATCTGGTGGAGTATTATCCTCCCATTCTCCCCTCTGAGTCTTAGTATCCTAATCTGAAAACAGACAAACAAAAACAACAAAACAAAGAACTGTCAGTGTTCTCAGCTTATTTAAACCACAGAATCCTTTCTTCAAATGACTTCCCAGGCAGCTCTATGCTTTTGTTCTTGTGCCTTCTTGAAATCCCTGGGCTGCTCAAACCAGTTTGGAAACCACTGGCCTACATGTCCTCTCAGGTATATCCTATTTTAAAATTATTTTTTTCTGTGTCTCTACAGTCTCCCCTGGGTTTTTCACAGTGCTTTGATACAAAAGGTGAATAGCACCAGCCAGCAAGCAGCTGATGTGCAGCTGTTACCACTTGAGCTTAGCAGAGTATTTTCTGTTTTGGTAGTGCCTCTTCCTGAGTCCTGGAAAGGCTGTGAGGCCTGGAAGCCCCTGGGCTGCTGCCAGTTGTGACAGCTCTTTTTAGAAAGTAAAAATATATGTGGTGTTTATTAAACTTGACTATGCAGCATCTCTGTAAAGGCTAGTGCTACTTGGATTCAACACTTTAGCAATTTGTCTTGTTTGGCAGAACTTGCACTTGGTGTCCAGCCACTCATCACTGTGCCCAACCTGGCAGGGAGCATTAGACTGGCAGCCAGGGTACCAGGCTCACCCTTCTTTGGTTTCTCCAGAAGAAGGCAGGGGACCAGTATGGATTAGCCAAGAGACAAGCAGCCACTTGATACTGCCAAGCTCAACTGTGCTAGCACTTCCAGGATATCATCCTTTTATGAGAGTGTCTCCTGTTCAGCTTTGCATGTCTCATCTCCAGGGCCAAGGAAAACCATCTTGCCACATGAAAGTCTCCTTTCTCCCTTTCCAGAGTCAGCTTCTATTTGGTGAATATTTGCCTTATTCTTTTCCCATATCGCTATATTCATTCATGATTTTTAGAACATAGAAAGCTATTCTGTCACTCTGTTGTCACCTCTCTACTTTTTGTGCTTCAGCATCACCAGCCTTCTCTCATGATTTGAGGCATGTCCCATGGTCAGCATACTGCTTAGCACTTGGTAAGTAGCAAGTATCTGCTAGCTATTTTTTTTTTTTTTTTGACAGGCAGAGTGGACAGTGAGAGAGAGAGACAGAGAGAAAGGTCTTCCTTTGCCGTTGGTTCACCCTCCAGTGACCGCCACGGCTGGTGCACTGCGCTGATCCGATGGCAGGAGCCAGGTACTTCTCCTGGTCTCCCATGGGGTAAAGAGCCCAAGCACTTGGGAGATCCTCCACTGCGCTCCCGGGCCACAGCAGAGAGCTGGCCTGGAAGAGGAGCAACCGGGACAGAATCCGGCGCCCCGACCGGGACTAGAACCCGGTGTGCTGGCGCCGCAAGGCGGAGGATTAACCTAGTGAGCCACGGCGCCGGCTTGCTAGCTATTTTTAATAGTAGTGATGGGGGCATAGTACCTATTTCTGTGTTTTGCCCTCCCTCCCCTTCTCCTAGTCTCTATCTCTTCCTTCTTTTCCTTATTTGTAGTACTCTGGGAGTGCCTTGAATTCTCCTTCTACACTCCTTTTCTGAATTTTCCCCTTTTTCATCACATTCCTCTAAGTGAGATCTTTGGTTGCTTCTCACTCCAGATGGCCCACATAAACTAACTGCTGGTCAGAATGGATGAGAGCCTGGTGCATTTTTGGAGTCATGTGGTAGCTTGTAAAGTGGATGGCTTGTGCACTTCAAGATCCTTACTTGTAATAGATTAAATATGCTATAGACTTACAGAATTTTAGAGTTGAAGGGGGCCAGAGAGAGTCCTTGGTATTCTTCCCTCATTTTGTATTGGGTCTCCAGTTTCAACAGTGTAGGACATTGAAGATGAAATGGTTGCCAGGTATGAATCCTTGTCTTTTTTTTTTTTTTTTTATGGTAGAGTTATAGACAGTGAGAAAGAGAGACAGAGAGAAAGGTCTTCCTTCCATTGGTTCACTCCCTAAATGGCCACTACGGCTGGCATTGTGCCGATCCAAAGCTAGGAGCCAGGTGCTTCCTCCCGGTCTCCCATGTGGGTACAGGGGCCCAAGCACTTGGGAGATCCTCCACTGCCCTCCCGGGCCACAGTAGAGAGCTGGACTGGAAGAGGAGCAACTGGGACTAGAACACGGCACCCATATGGGATGCCGGTGCTGCAGGTAGAGGATTAACCAAGTGAGCCACGGCACTGGCCCCCATCTTTTTTTTTTTTTAAGATTTATTTATTTATTCAAGAGACAGAGTTACAAGAGAGGGACACACACACACACACACAGGTGGGGGTGAGAGAAAAGGAGAAGGAGGGAGGGAGGAATTGATCTTTCATCTACTGGTTCACTTCCCAAATGTTCACAGTGGTCAGAGCTGGGTTGATCCAATGCCAGGAGCCAGGAGCTTCTTCTGGGTCTCCCATGTGGGTGCAGTGGCCCAGGTACTTGGGCCATCTTCCATTGCTTTCTCAGGCCATTAGCAGGGAGCTGGATTGGAAGTGGAGCAGCCAGACATGAACCAGCACCCATATGGGATGTTGGTGCCACAATCAGAGGCTTAACCTACTGCACCTTATCTTTCAGGACCTTTCACCATACCAGGCAAAAGAGAAGAAAATCTGTTTATCAGAACAGTGGTTTTAAGTGTAGTATCTATACTATATCCATGATCATTTTTATACTAATAAAATTTTACTTAGAATTAAAAGAAATGTGTTATTGATCCCGATGTGGATGTATAAAATTCCAACTATTGTGATCCAGTGAGTTACGCCACTGCTTGCAACACTGGCATCCCATATCAGAGTACCCGTGTGAGTCTGGCAGCTCTGCTTCTGAACGTAGCTCCCTGCTAATGTGTGTGGGAACACAATGGGGGATGGCCCATGTACTTTAGCCCCCTGCCTCCCATGTGTGAGATGCAGATGGAATTCCTGACTCCTTTGGATTTGGCCTTAACAGTCCTATTTGTTGCAGCCATTTTGGGAATGAAACAGCAATAGAAGCTCTCTTTCTGTCTTTCCCTCTGTGCCTGTGTCGTTCTGACTATGAAATAAATTAACAAATGAATTTTTTAAAGTCCCAAATATATGTAGCATGACCTCTGCTTATATCTAAGTTGAAAAGTGTCATGCTAAGAAGACAGCAGAAAAGCACCTCAATATGGTTCAAGAACAGAGGATCCATGTTGAGGGAACAGACAAATTTCACTGTTGTACCATGCCTTTCACTTAGGTCATCCTCCAGCCTGGCTCCTAAAACTCATACCCCAATGGTACAGAAATGCTATGAAAGAACTTTTCATTAAAAATGTCTATCAAACCCTGGGATGGCAAACTACACCTAAGGATATGTCAAAGCGTGTGGGCACTTAACCAGCCAGCAGGTTCTGCAGTATCACAAAACCATGGCCTTGGCATACAGGAGCAAGTGTCTCCTGCAGTGACCTTGCCTCAGGATAGCACAGCAGAGGTACAGGCTTCACTGGAGCAGAGGTCCTTGGCAACAGAACTCTACCAGTATGAGCCTGAACTTGAGGGACTGAGGAATGTAGCCTGGTGTCTGGGAGTGCTACGTTTGTGAATACATAAGAGTTGCACCTTGAGGAACCCTATGCAGAGTTGAAAAGAGTTGTAAGCATTATAACTAACATACAGGCAGCTTTAGTTTCCGCTTCTGGCACACTCAGAAAGTTATTGTAACGAACAGAGATGATGAAGAACATAAAAGTCATGATGGGTAGTTAGTAATGTGAGCCACACTAGTTGAAGGTCACAGCCATTGGAGGCTACCTGTGTGGTATTTAGCTTTCTCTGTGAATATATTACCCTCATCCTGCGTGAGAGGAATCCTACAGAAAATTAAAAAATACAAAGATTATAGTATCTAAGGACAACCTAAGATAAATGCTTGTGTGATAGTACTGGGTGTTTTAATTTATAATTTGCAGCAAGAGAAGTAAAGAAAAACACATCAGGGCCATAAGGATTCATATTTGAATAAATACTTCATACTATGAACTCTTTATACTATGAGCATTTCTAAAAATACAAATCTGTCTTCCAATTCTGCCCTGTAATTCTAACTAGACTGTCATCCAAGCAAGAAACAACTTTGTACTTTAAAGGGTAGGATTATCTTAATACAGGCTCATTTCTCTGTGGCTAGCTTTGGGTTTCTACTACTGCTACGTGGTGAAGACCCTTCTCTTCTGGCAGCTTATTACAATTTTCAGGGCACATTTTCATATAGTGCACCCTGGCTTTCTCTGATTTTTTTAAGTGACTCTGTTGATTAAAGTTCTATTCTGTGGCATAATAATTTTTTTCACAGCATATATTTAATTTTAATTGAGAAAATTGATTTGCTCTCCATCTCTTAGGTCTCGCAACGTATTTTGGTAGCTGCAAACATTTGCCCATGAAAGGGAATTTCATCCACCTATCATGCTTTGCCCTTAGAATGGGCAGTCCAAAAGGTGACAGACTTCATTGCTGACCTTGTAGTTATCAGTGAAATGTAATTTCTATGCATCTGCATTTTGACACCCAGTCAATCCTCGTTATTCTCGATAGTTCTGTCAACTCACTGTGTGTTCCCAACACTGGTTCCTAAGGGAGATACAGAGTTAGGTTCTTGCAAACCATGGGTCCCAACATTTTCATCAACAGATCATTATATGACTTTGTTATATGTGTGTTTCCATTTAAAGACACTTTATTTTATGCACACTGTTGACTGATTACCACTGAACTCAGGGCCAACAGCACTGTAACTCATGCCTGAGCAAAACTTACGGGACATGGATTTCCTCCCCAACACACACCACAGCCTTCTGTGCATAGGAGCCCTGGTCAGTCCATCAGCACTACACTTGGGGACTGTTTTAAACAGCAAACTCACCAACAAACTGCACGACAATTAGAAAAATGTGGCAGCAAATGGACTACTATATGAGGATGGAAATAAGCAGAAAGTCATCTATGTGTGCTCATCAGACCATTCCAGTTATGGTACTCATTCACAGAGACATGACTCGATAATA